CATGGTTATCATCATCATCATCATCATCATCATCATCATTTTCATCATCATGGTTATCATCATCATCATCATCATCATTTTCATCATCATGGTTGTCATCATTTTTATCATCATCATCATCATCATCGTCATCATGTTTATCATCATTATCATCATCATGCTTATCATCATTTTCATCATCATCATGTTCATCACTTTCATCATCATTTTCATCCTCATTTTCATCATCACTTTCATCATCATGTTTATCATCAGTTCCATCATCATGTTTATCATCATCATCATCATCATCATCATCATCATCATCATCCAAGCCCTTCCCAGACCCCCTGGATTTTTCACTGTTTTCCTTTTTTTGCCAGAATTGAAAAACATGAAAACACATGAAAAACCCAAGACTACGTTTTTTGTCTCCCTCAAATTGTTTCATTTTTTAAATTCTGGCCAAAAAATAGGAAACATGAAACAAATGAATAAATTGAAAAACAAACACATGAACAGTCCATGGGTGAAATGAGAACTGTCTCGGCCCCAGCTGGCCTTGTGCACCTTAAGACTTGGAATGTAAAGGAATGGAAAGGATAGGTTGATCCTCTCTTCCTTCATCCCCCTTCTTATTTCCGTTTGCTTGTTTTCTAGCGAACAGTGCATTTCTTCATTTTTTAGACTATAGAAATCTTATCAGACTATTGTTCAGTAATCTTATACTACAACCATATCATTCATCATTTTGTTTTATATAGTTTCACAATTTGTCTTTCTCGAGTTTATGAAGTTCATGTCGTGCTTGTTTATATCTATTGCTCTTATGATCATCAGGTATCATTGTCTTGTTTCTAATCTGCTGTCTCCCATAAGTAATTATTGCTTGCGAGGTAAACCGCAGTGGACGCACACACACACATCATGTCCAAATTCCAGAACCATATGCTGCCATTATGGCAAGAAGCGAAAAGGACATGGAAGGCACATATTGAAGGGACATGGAAGGGACATATTGAAGTGACGTGGAAAGGTATGGAAGGGACATGGAAAGGAATGGAAAAACAGAAATCAAAGGAGAGGAAATCAAACAAATACAAGGAAGGGAACTGCAAAGGAGGGACATGGAAACGGAAAAGTCATGGAAAGGAAACCCGGCACTGTTAACTCTTCACACTTGAAATGGCGAAACTAGACGTTGTTAGGCGCCGCCTAGCCTTGGGCATTTCTAGCTAGGAATGGGAAGGAATGGACAGAAACTGGAAAGGGCATTGGCAATGGGAATTGGACAGAAAATGGAAAGGAACCCCGGCGCCATCACAATCTTTACTCGGGACATTGTGAAACGGGCATTTTCTCGGCCCCAGCTGGCATTGGGCACTTCTAGCTTGCAATGTAAAGGAACGGAAAGGATAGGTGGAGCCTCTCTTCCTTCATTTCCCTTCTTATTTCCATTTGCTTGTTTTCCAACGAACACCTTAGCATTGTTGTCTAACTCTTGGATTTGATCATCCTTTCCTTTCTTTTTTGCTATCTGTGCATTTTTCATTTCTTAGACTAAAGAAATATTATCGTGTTACGTTTAACACACTCTTTGTATTTTCTTGTTTCACGTCTATCTTGATTTATTGTATCTTTTTCCTTTATTATCACTTGCAAACTGCTATCTGGATTGCAAGGCAAACAGAAATGGAACGATATACGTAATTTCCAAATTCTAGAATTACATGTTGTCATTACTGCGAGAAGCGGAAAGGAAATGGAAGGGACATATCAAGTGGTCACGGAAAGGAATGGAAAGGACATTGAAAGAACATGGAGAGGAAATGGCAAGGAATGAACAACTGGAAGAGGAAGGGAGAGGAAATGAGCAAACAAATGAAAGAAGGGAAACACAAAGAAGTGAACAGGACATGGAAAAGACATGGAAAGCAAACCCGGCGATGTTGACTTCTTCACGCGAGAAACTGCGACACTAGAAATCTCCGGTCCTTTCCTTAGGCATTTCTAGCTAGGAATGGGAAGGCATGAGCAGAAAACAAAAGGGAGTACCATCAAATTCTTTACGCGGGAAATTGCGAAATGAGTACTTTCTTGACCCTGGCTGGCCTTGGGCACTTCTAGCTTGGAATGCAAAGGAATGCAAAGGAATGCAAAAGGGATGGCAAGAAATGAAAGGACAATTGCAAGAATTGAAAGGATACCCGGTGCTACTAGTTTCTTCACGCGTGAAATTGCGAAACAAGACTTTTCTGCTCCGCCTGGCCTTGGGAATGGCAAGGAACGTACGGAAATGGAAAGGAGTTGGAATAAGATCGAAAAGCCCTTCAAAGAAATGGAAAGAAGTGGAATTGGAATGACATTGAAAGGAATAGAAAGAACTTGGAAGAATGGAGAGGACATGTAAATATACTGTATAGCAATGGACAAATGCAAAAAATGGACAGGACATAGAAAATAAGTGAAAGGGAATGAAAAGGACATGAATAAGAAATGGAAAATAAACAAACAATAAATTGGAACATATTCTTGGAAATACTTATTTCAAAACATGGTAAACACTTCAAACATTTGAAACATTAAATTGAGATTGACGTTACAAGGAGCTCGGTCGCATTATACGCATTATTCCCTGCCACACTTCCCTTTTTTCTCACCCCTGAACCCCCAACACCCAAACCAAACCCGTTCCACTTCTTGCACACCTCTTGCCCAACGAAACCACACCAATGGCCCCCTCTCCCCCCCGCCCCGCCAAACCTTTTGAACCCAAGCCGACCACTCGCGTTCCGTCCGCCTTCCGCCGACGCCTCGAGGGCGGGCTGCTGGACCGCGACGAGGTGCTCTCGGCCGCCTCAGCGCTGGCGGCCGCGCCCTTCTCCTCGCGCCAGGTCGGTCGCCGTCGGTCGCGGGGAGTGGAGGTGGGAGGGGAGTGGAAGCGGAAGAGAAGCCGGGCTGGAGTTTTGGCCTTCATCCCCCCGAAAAGAGAGAGAGGGAGAGAGAGAGAGAGAGAGAGAGATACAGAGAGATAGAGAGAGAGAGAGAGAGAGCTAGGGAGAGCTGGAGGGAATGTGTTTTTCCCTTCCCTCCAAAAAAGAGGAGATAGCTATAGTCTTATCAGTTAGATTGATTAGCCGTGGAGGTTTGCCCCCCAAATATTGATTCTGGTTGCGCCATCCATGCTTGTTCCATTGACACTGGATGGTTCCTTGCCAGAAATGGGTCTGGGTCAATGGGGAAATGGGGGACCTTCAAAACTGGTGGCTTTCCTTTTGAGGCACAAAGGGAACCCTCAAGAAAACCCACAAACCCACATGGAAGCGGCAGCTCTCTTGATTCCCATGTGGGCATTGCATGTTTTTTGGATCCTACTGCGTGGTCGGCTTCCTTTTGGTTGGTTTCCCTGGGAAAAGACACAACCTATTAAACAAGTCGCACCCAATTTTGAGACAACCCCATGTTGGAACCAGAATCATAGTCACTTCCCAACCTATGTGAATGTTGACCGAGAGACTATGCAGTGCTACGGAAAGTTTCAATCAGGAAATTTGCCAATTCCCTCCAAAAGCCAAGGATTTCCTGCAGAACTTCCTGTGGCTTGTTTTTCAGAAACAAACGGGAGTCAGATATAACTTGAGCCGATGCCGCTCGCTAACGATCAATTTCGGGGGTGCTTCCAACTTCCAACTTTCCGGGGGGAACCGGTGAACACCAGCCAAAATGGTTGGTTCCCTTTGGATGTTCCTTTGGTACGCCCCCCCCCCCAATCTCAAAAGCGGCATATACTCCTTTTTCCAACCGTCGTCATGGAACCTGGGGCTTGCAAAGCTGTCCGCTTCCATGATGGCCGGAAAGAGGGTCTAAGTCTATGAGTCAAATAGTTGCAAACATGGTTCTCCCATGACCTGGGAATTTGGTTGAACAGTACCTCTCAACCCCATTCTCAGTATGTAGACCCCTTGGGGTTTGAACATCGAAAAGTGGCCCAGAAATAACGTGTGCTGCTCACCTGCCAGCGGTTGAAGGGTGGATTCCTCTTGCGCCGCTCTGTTCCCAAAAAGGACACGGCACGCAGACCTTTCGGTTCCCGTTGCCCTGATCTAAGTGACCATGGCATCCATGGGTAAGCTTTGGCACTATGCCCCTCTTCCCGAGTGTCTGGACTTTATTCTTTTTGGGTCTGCATCATTTTGTTGGTAACAAGCAGCCTACACCTGTTGGCCAATCCACCCAAAAAGTGAGACGCGAACCTTCTTTGGTCTCTTGCACGGTTCCTGCTGCATGCTTAGCGTGGCGTAGCTTTTGGCAAAAGGCTCAAGATCGATGCAGCCTCCGAACCGACTGTCGCATGCACCTGCCCCCTAGCGAGCTCACCGGACAGAGCTAAAGGTGAATCCGAGCCCAATGATGAAGGCCGCTTTAGATGTGGGGTCTCCTTAGAAAATGTCTTTTGGTTTTCGGGCTAAGTATATGAACCAATAAGCTTCTTCTTTTTTTGCGACCCCGGATTTGGGCCAAGATTCGTAGCCGACATGTGCTTGTCAATGAGGTGATCACATCGGGTGTTTGAAAGGAGCGACCCTGCCTGGTGGCCTTCCGATTTCCTCCGGGCTTCGTCATCCAAAAGCGGTTCCTTTGGTAAGGGCACATCTATTTAGGGGAGTGGAGTCCTCAGGATTAATCCGAGGTTGACATTACCATCTTACATGACTTTTGTGAGTGAACTCTTTGAACACAAGGGGTGCAGGAAGCTTCATCGAAGCTCTTTCGTGAGGTTCGGGGTTCCCCAAAGGTTCCTCTTTTCAGGGATCTGGCAAAAAATGTTTTGGACGGTTCACTGGATATGGCTACGAATTTTAAGAGTTGGAACCACCTCAAAAGTGGTTGCTGGACGGGAATCCCTACCTAAGTGAGAGGGTCCCCGCTTAAATTGCATACCCATATTGTCGACAATCAAATCAATTACTGTTGCAGGGGCAAAACCTGGGGCTGATGTTTCTAGAGAATGCAGAGCCCGTTGCATCTCCCGAGCGACTAGCTCTTGTGCAAACGAGCGCTATATTGCCATGCCATGGCAAGCCCAAGCGAGCGCTCGGAACGCTTCAGCGGGCCGCGCCTCCTGCAGGCTGGGGATTCTGCGTGGTTCAGGCAGGAAAAAAAAGCAGGGATCCCAACGCAGTGCCAGACTGAGCTACTCTCCTGCAGATCAACATGGAACCCACAACACCTTTTCTTGGGTTCCATGTACTGATTTGTTCCAACCTAGGGCCTCTTTCTTGGGAGGGCCTCTAGTTTCTGTCTCTCAGCCAAATTGGTGCTATATATATACATATATATATATATATATTTATATATGTATCTCTCTATAGATATAGATACATTCAATGTACAAATATTATTGCCAAACTCAACTCACCTGTTTTCTTTGTCTCTTCATTTCCTTTTTTCTCTTGACTTCCCTTTTTCCATTCCCAAAACGGGGTTGCTCCAAAAGCAAGCGCAGTCTCCAACAGCTGAGGCTTCCTAAGCCCAAAGTGTGGGCGGGTCTTTCAGCTCGCTCGATTTCAGTGCGGTGCGATGTGTCGATCTCGGGATTTGGGAGCCCTGAAGTAAGGCCGAAGGAATTTCGGAAGGCGACCGAGGAAGATTCGGAGCCCTTTCTTTGTGGCTTTAAAGGGACACTGACAGGAACACCAAATCCATTTCAGGGGTCCTATACTATTTTAAGACAGACCCCATGTGAGGAGTTTTCCTCCCATTCCTGCTCTTCCCAGTCCGCCCTTTTCCCTGTGCCTGCTGATTATCTTTTCGCAACCAAGAAAGGCGATACTTTTTTCCCGATGGACATCCACCGGGTTCAGAAAATGGCGGTGATGTGCCTTTGACATCCTTTAAGCCAACCTGAGACAGATACCCTCAAAAAAGCGCCCCACATGGAAGACCTATTCCAGCACATACCCCGCCACACCCCAACGACAGTTTTTCCCTTGTCCAAAATCCACAAGTGTAGTCCAAAAAGCAGTCGTTGCGGGGTGATGGTACAATTAGGGTAAGCAACGGCCTCCTTCTTTGTATCCGGCAAAGGTACCCGCAGAAAAAAGCACCCGAAATCTCCACACATCCAAATACTATAGGTAACGCCAACATTTGTCCCATCACGGTATCTTGGAGGGATACTGAACCGCCCAATCATTGCAGGACATCTTCCACACGCAGAGTGTTTGGGATGGAAAACCCGGGTGGGTGGTTCGCAGGCCATCGCAGAGCTCACGAGCACCGGCAGCCGGGCTGCGGACGCCTTGCTCCGTGACTTTGCGCGCTCCGAGAAGGCGGTTGCTGGTGGGGGGGCTGGAGGGCGTAGATGCGAGGTGGATGTTGGGGTAATTTGAATTTCGCATGAAATCGGTTTGCGACGGTTCAACAGGTATGTTTAGGGTGTGTCAGTCGGGTTCAGTGACTGCTTGTCCTCCCAGAAAATGAATGGTCCGTCTTCTCTTGCTGGCTTGTACCATGAATTTGAGCATCTCCCGTTCGCCCTCCCACACGGAACCTCAAGGGACATTTGGTGGGTTCCACAGCACAGGTGTCGGAATGGGGTTCATCAAGTCATGTTCAGAAGATAACAATCGGCATTACTGAGTGCTAGATAGGGGTCTGAACAAAATCTGAAACTTACCTATCCCCCGTCGCAGGCGGCGGCGACTTGTTGCCAGCTGCTGGCGAGCGCGGCGAATGAGTTACCTCCAACGGCGCAGCAGCTGCTGGCGACTCGAGAGAGAGGGAGCTCTTGACCAAGCCGGCGCAGGGTGTGGGCGATTCAAACGACCATCAATAGGCCAACATGCCACCCTGCAATTTACGCCTTGGTTTGAACCATTGCTTTAATAACCTTCTTCGGATTTTCCTTTACAGGGTACCAGGGATAGAGGTTGGTTGTTGAAACAAGTTTTGCCCAACCCTGCTTGCTTGACCAGACGGATCCAACGCCTGCAAAAAGGTGCAACTGTTTGCTGGTGAAAAGGGAACATGAAGATGGTGTGAAAGGGCAATACAGCAACACATAGGTGAGTCAGGCAATGTTTGTTCGTTGCGAACTTCAATCATCAAACGTGTGCTATTGATTGTTTCCTCTTCTTTTTTTGGGAGGTGGCTTGCTAGAACCCAACAAACTACTAGTTCGGCTTGCGGTCGTCTGGAAAGACAGATCTTTGGAAAGAAGGAGCAAGCTCCTGCCAAAACATGGGTGCGCTTGATGTGCCCCTTTTTCGTTCGCTTCCCGATTTGTTGCAGGTGATTGTTCCTTCCAGACACACAAAGGGGCAAGTCCTTCTCCCAGACCAGCGCCTTTTGGGTGGGAGCACAACCCCAAAATCAGCGTCCGCTTTTCCCAAATGAAATCTACTCACCTATTTTGTGGTCCGAAGAAGGCGATCGCTTGTTCCAGGCCGGCGCGCGAGCTTCCCTTGAAATGCGCAACGAAGCATCGGCTTTTTCGTTTGGAAGTCCCACTGCAGAATGATTCATCCAGCCCCGCCAGCCTCTCGTATGATGGCCACTTAGGGGTCTAGTTTGCAACCTTCTCTTTGGGTTGGGGGGCACTCTTTAGGGTTGGGTTTTATTGGTTGGGGGGCACTCTTTGGGGTGTTGGGTTTGAATAGGGTTGGGCCTGCAGCAAATCGTTTCTAGGCGTCCGTGGCCTGAGGCGAGCACCTGCCACCGCGCCGCCCAGCGGACCTCCGGCGGCTACGGCGACGGAGCGTCGCGCGGAGCGGCGCCGGAGGAGGCCGCGGTGGATCGAAGGAAGTGCAACAGATCCGCTCGGGGACTCCTCACAATATAGTTATGTATACATATATATATATATATACACATGCATTATATATATATATATATATATATGGACATACGTGTTTGGGGTAGACCGAATATGGAACATAATATGAAGATCATTTGGAGGCTGGGGAGGTCCACAGGGCTCGGGATGGTTGGGCTGGCCATCTACTGTTTATAGTTTAGGGAGACTAAATATGGATCAGAGTCGTGCTTTTTGTCTAGGTGCCCGCAGATGTGGGCCAAACAGGGGACTTTGCATTCAACCAAAATATCTAGTGGTCCCAAATGTAAACCGTTTTTGAGGCCGCCTCACTAAGTAAATTCATTGACTCCCAGTTCAAAATTAATGGATCCCTTGCCTGAGACCCATCCCCGTCCCTCCCCCCCCCGAAGCATGTTTTCTTTTGAGACCCGGCTTTGACCTGGAGGTGCTGCAGTTGGCAGCCCGCCTCCCCGAGAAGCCCGGCGACGCGCTGGCGCGGGCTGCCGCGGCGCTGTGGCTCCATAGGCGGAATCCTCCGCTGGAGGCGCCACAGTCCGGTGGGTTTGCCTCGGAAACCACAGGTTCAAACAGAAATTCATTTGGTTTAACTGATTAAATTGGTTTTCTGTTGGTTGGCCTTGTTTGATTGAACAGGGTTGCCTCATAGGAAGCAATGTATGGCCTTTTGTAAATTCGGCCAACAGAGATTCGTTGGGCCACATTTTTTTCAGACTTGTCTTATAGCTTCTGTTGTTTCCAGCAAGAAACATGGGATTCGGGTGGAGATCCTCAAATTATGTGTCAAAACAGGCGGACCGCCAAGAATCAGGCACCCCTTTTTAGTTGGCGGCTTGGATTGGTGGTTTAGCTTTGGATTGGAACCCCCCCTTTCTATGGAAGCCAAATGGGGAAAGTACCCCCATAACAACCACCAAACCAAACCACAAATTGGGGGGTAAGGTGAAATAATGTTTCAAGCTGAAAGGGGGTGCGCTCAAAACAGCACACAGGCGCCTTTCTCATGGCGAGCGCACCGCTGGGGTAAAAACTGACCTCACCACTTTGCAGGCTCCTGGTTTTGGAATTGTTGCACAACTTGCCAATATTTTCCTGGACAAACGATGGACTCCGTTTCTAAGTGGACACGCCGGTTCTGTTTGGTTTCCCTTTGACATGCCAACAAAGACAACACACACTATTTTCTGTGCACCCCTGTTTTGGGGGGGCCAAGCCCAGGTCCCCCGACGCATCCTTCTTCCAGAAAGATTGCCAGGAGCTGCTAACCGCTGCTGGCGAAGGCTCCGCATCAAGTGCGCAGGCCTCGCGGCTGGCGCTGGTGGTCTTGGCGGCGCTGCCCGAGGCTGGCCCAACGGGGCGTTGTAAGCGGCCCAAAAAAAGGCGGTGTTGTACCCGGGCTTTCCTTCCACAAGGGGGAATTTCAAAAGGGGGGGTGGGGAAAATCAGTTGTTTGATTGGGCTATTCGGCCTCTCTTGCTTGCAGAGGGTCGGATTGAATTACCCAACCCGCACTGATTATTCAAAGGGCGCCAAGTCCCTCTTCAGGTCGTGCTCTTCAGTCCTTCCGCTTTGTTTGGTGCCTGACGCGCTTTGTGGATTTCCTCCCCAAGGCTACCTGAAGGCTGGGTTTTCGCACTTGCCCACATCGAACCGACCTTGGGATCATTCGACTTTCCCATCCATTTTTTGTCAAGGTCCCTAAAGGTAATTGCCTTTTGTTTCACCTTCTGTTTCCCAGTCCTTTGTGGTGCAAAAAGTGTCGGGGGTATCGATTTAGAATCAGCTACCAACAAGAAGGCCCCCTCTTTTTCATGGCCACTGGATCTAGGAAGAACTCAAAAGCTGGTTTCGGGCCGGCTTTTTCTTGTTCTGAAACAACCCCAAAGAGGTGTCTCCCACGACGCCCTTCCCTGATTGGAAACAGGACTTCCCACGAAAAACAAAACTCCCTCAACAAGACGCCAGCGGTTTAGTCATACTGCCACTGCGGATGGACCAATTTTGTTTACCAATCCCAAGTGGTGCCTGGCGGAGAGTCGCCACTCCGCCGATAGGAGGCCAACGCCAAGGAGCTGAAGTTGGAGCAGCGACCCCAGGCCAAGTGGGTGGGGAAGAGGGAACCCTCCGAATTCGAATACGCCCCCGGCAAATAGGGAGATCAAGAGAATGGGGACACCACACATAAGAACTAAGGAGCATAAGGCATTAGTCAAATCCAAGGAGCATAGGGAAAAACACATGAACTAGAACACGCTGCAACTCAAGCAGACACTACCCACACACACACACACACATATCCAGAAGCCCTGCCCTTCTCTCTCCAAGATCCGTCCTTGCTGTCTTTTTTTTTTTGGGGGGGGGGGGAGAAACAAAAACAGCAACTTTCCTCGGACCGGGCCTTCCGTCCCCAACCCCCCCTCAGTCCGGTCCGAGCGAGGTGCTGCTGCAGCTGCAGCAGGCGGCCCCCGAGGTGCTTCGACGCCTGGGCGCGGCCGGGGAGAGGAGCGCACCGGGGGGAGGTGGGGGGGGGGTGGGCAGGAGGGGCGGGGTTTGAGGCTGTGATTTGGAGGGCGGCGTAGTACAAAGGGGGAAAACCAGGCTCCGCAAAAATGGAGATGGCTCCCAATTTTGAGACCCACATTGGATGACAGTACCCGTCGCCTGGTGAAAATACAGACCATTTTGTTGGGACGGGTAATCTGCACAACCTGCAACCATGAGCTTGAGCTGGTTCATTTTTTGACAATAAGCAATCTGGAGGTAGACAAGCCTTTTCAAGAGGACGGTATCCTTTTGTCCACTTCGTTGATTGTTGGAAACAGTGCAATGCGTAATTTGACTGACGACAGATATGTTGTCCCCTCACCATCTTGATTCTGTACGATTCATACTAATTCATACGACCCTTTCTAATGTTGACTCCTGACAGCAAACCCGGGAATTCCTTGCTCCAGGCAGTTTGCCCTGAAAGAAATGAGTGGGAGGTTCATACCTCCTCCCCCAAACATAGCACCCTGCGGATGTTTGTGGGAGGTACATCAGCGGGTTGACAGGGACCGTGATGATAGCAGAAACCGTTAAGCTGAGCTCAAAGGCTGCACTGCTTGGGAGCTTAGAAACTCAGGTAGCCTTTATCAAACGCACCTTTATCAAACGCACCAGGTAGCCTTTAGAAACTGAATTCGCCCAGATGATTCGAGGACTCACATGAGATAGTAAGACTGAGTTATGAGGAACTCAGGTAGTTCCAATATTCCTTGCTAACTCTGTACATTTGCCAGATCCTTTGTGCCCGCACTGAGGGATCGTTTCTATTGATATCCCCAATTTATCCGACGGACATTTCACACGATCCTTTTTAGCGTTGACTCCCAAACCCGCTCACTTGGGGCACACGGTTTAGTGGGGGCTTGTTGCTGCAGGGCATCCCCCTGGAAAGAAAAGGGCAGAAGTCTCTGCCTCAAAATGTCAACCAACACAGACGTGACTGTCTTGTGGTGTGGGATTCCAGAGAAAGACATGGACGAACTTCTCGTGACGGGTGTGGACCAAGAGAGCCCGGCCTTCAGAAAACGTCGTGGCAGCCGAGGAGGTAAAAGGCAGTGGCCCATCTCAACTCGAAGCGGAGGCATAGACTTGGGATCTTTTTGGTTGGCAGCCTAGTGGCAATCGACTTACCACTCGCTAATTTGGCCTAAGTCTAAAGTGAGCCACTATAAGCCCAGGGGAAGTGCAAGTTAAATGGGGACAGCCAGTCAGAATTTTGGCTCCACCCTTTCGATTCTTTCCCAAGGTTTTTTTAAGGGTAGAGCCCTGTGAGTCATCATGTTGATCCTGACTTAAACTCAAACCCTTCAAACAGGTGCCACATGAACTCCCATGTGATGATGCCCACCAAAGGGACATTCCCCCCCCCCCCGGGGCAATGGTTGGACATGTCCCCCCAGTTTCTTCTGAAATGGGTGGGGATAAGTAGGCCAGTGTTCCCTTTTTTGATTGCCGCAATGCAAACTTACCCCCAGGGGTAGTCAATGTCTCGTCATTCTCGGCAAGCCCTGGGTTTTTGGCACCATGTCCCCGCTTCGGTTTAGCCATCCCCCGTTACCTACCCACATAAATAGACTTTCACCCTTGAGACGCTTTGTGCCTACTGTAGGAGCATGATGGCTGCCACCCAATGGCTCGCTATTTGCGACGCCACCGCCAGCAACTCCTCGGCACAGCGCTCGAAAACATCTTGGGCACGCGTCGTGTTGATTGTACCCTTTGTGGGGTTGCCTCCAAGAGAAAACAATTGTGAGGCGAACCCGTTTGAGCCCGGGTATGAGCTGGGGAGAAGTGAGGGTACATTTAAAATATCTTTAGTGGGGATGAAGGTGAAGCAGCCAACATAATGAAAACTTTACAGCAAGGAACTCCAGCAATGGTGCAAAGACCCACTCAAGCTTACTGGGGATGGTTGCGAAGCTCTTAGTAGGGAAATCTACAGGCCCAGGTTCCTCTTCAGGGAAATTACGGCAATGACGTACTGTACATTGGGAGCTTTGAACATTCCGGACATGGCAAGGTTCGTTTGGTTTCCTTTTGACTGACAGGGCTCCGAAAAATATGCGTCTCCCCAGTTTCCAGAGCGACCCTCGGAATCTTGGAACCGAAACAGAATCTGTGCGGGGTATTTTCCGCTGATTCTTGCCCAGCCCTTCAAAGCCAAGCCACCAACAACCAAGTGTCCGTTGTTCCTGAAAATCCACTGGTCTGAGATCCAAATATGCAGATGTTGGTTTCCACTCAAAACCCCACCCCGAAAAGGGTGTGTTTTTGCCGCAGAGTCTAGAGAGGTGTTGCTCCTTCGGGGGGAAGATTCGCTCGAAAGTCTGCCGCGCGCTCTATGCTCTGAGGCATCGTGGAGGAGGTGGGCGCAGCTTTGCTCCCGCACGCCGCGTCCATCCTGCGCCGCGAGAATTCGCCGGAGATGGCAGGCAAAGGGGCGGCTTTGGCCCAGAGGGGCGCCTGTCTGTTTGTTCAGCCTCTTTTTCGGAGGGGGAAGCACCTTGGATTTCAAAGTACCAAGAAGGAGGACCTTTTATTCCTGGGGAAATGCAGAGGTCTGGGCTCAGCTCGTTGAGCAGAGGGGTCGAAATGGATCCTGCGTTGCTTCCACGTGTAGCAAAGCTTTGTATCTGCTGTTGGAAGATTAGACACAGGACAAAGGGTTGCAGGGAAGGGAATAACACTTGGTTGATTGGGGAACCCACCCCCTTTTCCTTTAAGGCCTTAAGGTGCGGTCGCTTGATTGACACCACTTTCTTTCATTCATGGTCTTTGGCGTCATTGATTTCCTCAGGATCTGTTCAAGCTGTTGGCTTTTGCATCTGGAGGTTACTTTTGGTTCCACTCAGATGGATCACTGCAACAGGGACAATGATGCATTCAGGAGCCTCCATGGCTTTTTCGGGAAGCATTTTCTGTCCTGATTCAGCATTCGGGTTTCTGTCAATCTTTAGGGCCAAGGTGATTGCTTCAACCCGAATCCCGGCCGGTGTGAACAAAGCAGATGGGAACGGATGATGCTGACTCCGTGATGCCAGAGAAGTATGTGCCCTTCAGCAAACAGGCAAACAGTTCAGTCAGTGACACCCTTCAATGACCCCCCCCCCGGAACAAAAAAGAAACGCATAAACATAGATGTGGCTCAACATTAGGGACGCAGAGGACCGCAGAGTTTGTCGTAGCGTAACACCTTATTCTTAGCTTCCCAACGCAGATGCCCATGTGAAACACCCAGTTGTTTGAAATCTTTATTTGTTTTGGCGGGTTGCCCACCAAAAAAGAACAACAGTTGGGACAAAAGACGAGCCACTCAAGTAGTCACAGGAGTGCGGTTCCCTTGGGTTTTGCTTGGGTTCCCCTGGTTCTTGGGGTCACCGGTCGCGACCAAAAAAGGCGCCGCGGAGTTCCTGGAGGCTTTGCTGGAGAAGTCCGGCGCCTGCAGCAGCTGCCCCGGCCGCGCCTGGACTTGATGGAAGCCCCAAAAACGGAGCTCAAACGGTCTGGTTGGTGTCCCTTGAAACCCACAGAAAAGGACGACCTTCCAAAAAATGGCACACAACGAAGTGTCCGAACAATTCGGGTGCTCAGCTTCTTTTATTGGCTGTGTCTAGGTGGATGGCCGTGGAGTTGTTTGGGGCCTTGTGGGGAAAGACATGCCCTCGCTGGAGGTTCTCAGAATGCCGAGCTTTGGTTCGCCTCGATTCCGTCCCTTCGTGTGCTCAAGGTGGTTTGATGTTATTTATCCTTCCAGGTAAGGAGCATGGTCATGACTAGCACCATCCAAGGAAGGCTCCCAGGAAGTACGGTCCAAAAACGTGCACTCGAAAAACGTGGTTTTCTCCTTAGAGGTATGTAACCAAAGCTTCTGACCAAAAGACAACCCTGGGCGCTTAGTCCTTATATAGCTGGTTGGGGAAAAAACAACCGCGTGTTTTGAGCCACAGCAGACAACACTCGACACGGCTTTTTGAGTCCAACAGAAGTGTCTTATGTTCAAAAACTCAGCTTCTGTGTTTGCATTGTCTCCAGCTTTGTTTATTGTCATCCTTGTGAATCCCACATCAATCTTTTCGAATCACCTATAGCCCTTTGGTTGGGTGATGCCTCCCTAGGCTCGCGGCCGTAAACCTAGAGAAACCGCTCATGGGTAGAGGACGCTGGATTGGAACAAAGTTCCTAATGCTCAACGTGTGTAAAAGGTGAACTCCTAGAACAAAGCTCCAGGACTACTGCTTGACCTTTAGGAAGGCGAGGAATTTCCCAACCTACCTCTCTGCTGGGCCAACTCTCTACCTTTGTGCCGAGCTTTTAGGTAGCCTTGGTTGGTGGTCTGGATTGGTTTGGATTTGGATTTGAACTCCACTTCCTTTTGAAGCCAAACGGGGAATGTATCCCCTGAACATCCAAACCACCAAACCAAACCACCCACCCAAGCCACCAAACCACACCACAAATTAGCAATCTTTTTCCCCAACAGCTGAAAGCTTTGGGGTCTCAGCCCAGATAGTCTCCGGGGTGGTCCGGTAAGGTTCCATGAGGGTTCCACCAGGGTTCCACCAGGGTTCCACCAGGGTTCCACCAGGGTTCCACCAGGGTTCCACCAGGGTTCCACCAGGGTTCCACCAGGGTTCCAATAGGGTTCCGCGAGGTTCTGCGAGGGCTGCGGGGTGGTGCGAGCACTAAAAAGAGCACCGCATGCTGTTGGGGATATCACCTGCGCTTATTTTGGTTTGTCTTTGGCCTCGGGTGGATGAAGGTTAGCAAGGGATAGTCCCAACCAAAAAAAGGGGGCTGCCCTATTGTATCCCGGATTCACAAACCCATCCGATTAGGCCTCCAAAAGTGGGACGCACTACTCTCCCTTGCGAGGTTTGGTGCATGACCTCATGACGCTGCTCGCACAGCTGCAGCCGGTGAGCGAAGAGGCCTTGCTTTTTTTTGTTGCGAAGTAAGACGGAGCTGGACGCCCAGTTTGGGTTGGCTTCGTCCCGGCGTAAAGCGAGTAGCTCCCCTGCATTTGCACATGGAGCCTGAAAGCTCCTACTTTGGGGAGAATTCTTTTTGGGACTCTGATTTGCAGGGGAGGATCCGGTGGTCCGTTTCAGAACGAAGATGCACCTACGGATCGTCAACGTCAAGGAGTTTGGCCCACCAATAGCCGGGTGAACCAGTCCATATGGGCTTGTCTCTAAACGAGGGGACCCCCCAACATCGTGGCTTTCTTTTGGTTTCCTTCTAACTGCAACCAAGCTTCCGCTAAGAACACCAACACCCATATCCAAAGCAGAGCTCTACTTTTCAGGTCGGTTCTGGTGGGGGAGAACGTGTCGAAATCGGGTCCAATACTGGATGGTGAACAGGACACCATAGGAACCGGTTTAAATGTGTTTTGCTTCTTTGTAAGCGCTCTTAGGGTGTCCACTCGGGGGCAGGCACATTCAAAGCGCCTATTGGAAGGCTACTTGTAAGATTATCAACCGCTTGATTACTCTGTCCAAAGGCGGCCTTTTGACCTTTGGGTTTTCCCATTTTGGTCCGGTTTTAGTCATGGCCCCGGAGTTAAACCCTAGATGACAGTTTGCAGGGGAGCGGTCCTTTTGCCACGAGCACAAAGAGGTCCTTTGCAGCAGGGGAGCGACCTTTTGCCACGAGCACAAAGAGGTCCTTTGCAGCAGGGGAGCGACCTTTTCAATCTTTACCATGGGTCGAGGGGTTGATCCCCCCATTCTTTTGAGCCCATCGTTCCTTTCAGCACCCGGACCTATTTTCCCTGAGTTTCTGGACGTTTTCTAGAAACAAGATCCCTGGAAACCCCGAATGCTTGGGGTAGATTGCTTAAAAGATTCTGATCCCAGTCTGTACGCCTAGTCCAGCATCTGTGTGAATGCTATAATCTCCCTGGGTAACTCAGGGCGTTAGGACCATTACGCAGGTTCGGTCCAGTCGGTTCCTCTCCGGCTTCTTGCGGCAGCGCGAAAGGCTGAGGTGGCACTGGAACTCTGAGAGGCTGAGTTTTACTTGGGCGCACTCGCCCAAGCAACACTGAAGTGGCGGACTGACTTGACAGCTGCTCGCAGCATCGCAATTGTGTGATCGATATGCTCCTGGGGCACTAGCTGGCAAAGCTTGTCAAACGCATTGCTACTGGATCAGGTTCAATTGCTAAAAGGGGCTTCCCCGACCTGCGAATCTGGCGGAACACGAGGACTGAACGATGTCACTAGACGTCATTCTCAACCATAGACAAGGATTTGGGTTGCTTAGATGTGAGTCCTTGCGTGGCTGCGGTATTTGCGAGTTTTTCCTATTCCGAAAGTTAACATGGCGCACATCCAAATTACCGCTCTTCTTGGCCGAATGGTTTGGTCAGAAATGGGGTTGTAAACCTTACTGGGTTTATAACTCTACTGCCAAACCATTCGGGGGCCAAATGTGGATCCGCTGGTTCGTCGTTTCGAGTCCAGGGCCGGCGCGTGCTGTGCCGTCTGGTGGCCAGCGCAGTGATTCATTGGTGCCGCTTCTTCGTGCACGAGCCTTCGGAGCAGGTCGCCTTATTGGAGGCTGCTTTACGGTGAGGGAGACTCATCATCAGGTTCTGTTTTTTGGGGGTCCCCCCAAAAAAGACGCACCCACCCATGTTGACGTTTATTGATAGGGAGGGGTGTTCCCCTCCAATGATGAATCCCCACAACGGGACACCTTGAGTGGTTTATGAAGCAGGGGTCCCATTGGGATCCAACCTGCTCCCCTCCCGTTTGGTGTCCGCAGCTAAGCTATGGGGTCGATAGGCCCAGATAGGCTCGGGGAGGGTTTGAAGGGACTTGCCTATTCCCCCTCAGCAACTGCGCAATAGTTGGTTTGGCCAGCCAGCTTATTCATTTGGGGGTTTGGAAACACCAAGATTCGTTTCCTTTGGAAGCAGGTGTTCTCCTTTCAGTTGGTTTTCTTTTGGCCGCGGAATGCTGGTTTTAGGGTTACAAAGCCACTATCCCCCATTTTATGGGGTTTCAACTCATTTATGACCGGATATAAGCACCGTCAGCCCCCATGTATGCTGTTTGGGACTCCTATAGCCGAACCATCGGCCTTCTGCCTTGGAGGCGCTGCTGAGCTGTGCCGCTTGGGGCCACCAGGCGGCCACGCAGGCGCTGCCGGCGTGGCTGGCGCTGCAGGGACGCCCAGGAGCCGTCGACCGCAGGGACGAGTTGAAGTGTGTTTCGGTTGTGTGTTGGTGTGAAAGTTGGGAACCCCCCCCAAAAGAAAAGAAGGGCGCGCGTGTTGTGTGTGTGTGTGTGTGTGTTTTTTCTTTTCTACCCCCAAACAAATAGTTGATACCGGACCACACTTGGATTGGGACAAGTGGTGAAGAAGTCGCAGGAACTTTAATCCCTTGCGGTTTGGAAATGAATCATATCGGATCTTGGCAACTCCGGACAATGACCGGAACCCAGGTTGACTTTCTCAGGTTTTGCGTGAGAAAATGGGTCTGTCTTTTCTTTGGCGGCACCCCCTTTTTTGCAGTAACAGGAAACTAAAAGGGACCACCGAAGCCATTTTTGTGGAAGACACCCAACTGGAACCAAGGGACGATTTAGGGTATCGCACCAAAGTTGTTGTGTTGTTTTCTGGCTGCCAACTTGGTATGACCTCGCCAGCATTGTCTTAGCTGTCACCTAGAGGATGGTGACAGACCCTTTCCTTCATCTTCCGATTCACATGATTACTACTTAAAGGATTCTTGATTGGGGAAGAGACGGCCTTGATGCGTCTACCTTTGTCCACCTGCATCTCTGAGATTAATGGTGTACGAAAAGAAGAGGACAGGCTAACCGGAATCGCAGACGTAGGAAAAAGATGAGGTTCACCGTTCCATTCTCTTCGTTCATTTACTTGGATCTCTTGGCAGCGGTGAAGCCTTATGTGGCGGCTAAAAGCGAGTCATGTCTGGGTTCGCAGGTCAACCCTCGTCTGCAGACCATGCTTTTAAGGGACCCCCCTGTGCAGGTTCTATGCTTGTTTTATTGGGGGTAGCCCCTGAAACCCAACATATTTTTCTTACATGGTACCATTTTTGTTGTTAAATACATAACTGTTTTTTTGTTTTAAATGTATATAACACCAAATCTGAGATTCGAATCTTGGAATTGGACTTCCCTTTGAGGCACGGCCAGGTCCTAAAGGCGCAGGCAGGCAAGAAGGGCGCGAGAGCTGAGAGCTGAGAGCGGGGGGGTGTGGTCTTCTGGTTTCCCAACAGACAACAAAGCCCAGAGGGACATGTTACCCTTCCCTTAAGAGGACAATTCATGGTCTTGGAGGAGTTTGTGTGCAGGTTCTATGTTTGTGCGAAGGTATTCTGATTGTTCTGCAGATTATCAAAGCTGGAAACTGGGGTGGTGCATTCCTCGAATATGGCAAGTAAACCAACTATGGGAATGTTAACCTTGGTGCTGACCACACAGCAGAGCACATTCATGCTGCATGCGATTTTAGGTTGCTGAGCTCCGTGCTAGATAGTCAACCTTTGACAGGCTGCGTGCAACTTCCGGGTTCCCTGTACTTAGATTGTTTAGCAGTTGGCTAGGTGACTCTGCATTTTTGTCGGGGGGGGGGAGCATTAACTGGGGCCAAGCCCACCACTTAACTTTTTGGACCATCTACCTTGATTTCCCGTGCCCATGTTGCCTGTTTTTTGGTAGGTCCCCGTTCAGAATCATCCCAGTTAAACAAACATCCCGGGCTGATTTTTCTCTGCCAAAAAGCTTAAACCCCCACTTCGTGCCATGGACGTTTCAGATGGGTTGGTCTCAAAATAGGATATGGAACCTCCAACATCCGATGCTCTATTTCTACCCAAGAAGATGGTTCACCCCCTGCCAACGCCTTGGCCTTAGTTCCGCTTTTGGAGGTTTTGGAGCCCTACGCGCCGGTGCTCCTGCGCTCTGCGCGCAGCCTGCGCCAGGCCTGACCGAAAAGTGGGGCCTCCTCGGTAGGTTTTTTGGGGTTTCCAAAGCGACTTTATATTTTTGGGTGGACTAAACCCCCTTGATTCTCAAAGCCCCTCAAAGGATTCCCTGCTGAGCAGCAACTGTTCAGATGGATGCGTATTTGTTTCTTCTGCTTGTGCTCTTCGCACTCTTTTTCTCGAGGCTTGGTGGTTTTGGAGATGATAGGGAAACCGCAGGGCACAGCTGTTTTGGTAGCCCTATTTCGAGACACGCCTATATGAAACAGAATTCGAACAGATGATTTCTCGAGTACCCTATGTGCCAATTTGAAGCTGAAAAGGCTATGGCGAGCTGGGGGGAAAACGAGCTTCATGATGTAAGTCCCTTACTTGGGCATCTCCGATTGCAGGGTTTGGAATAGACTTGGTAGATCAGTGTGTCATTTTCGTTTGGGAACCCCTTTGGGGCTGATTTTGAAAGCGAGACCAACTCGTTCGGTCGTTTCCCTTTTTGGGACCAATGCTTCTTTGGGAACCCTCCGTTATTGGCACCCATTTTTGGGGGGCACCTCTCTTTTTGTTGATGGAGGTGTTGGCCCATTTTGTATCATAGACATGCATATGGGTGTGTCTGAGTTTAGGGAGGACTGTTGTTTCAAAGGGAGACTCATTGGATTACCACTCAACCTAGTGGATGAGCACGAAGATGCTTTCCCCTCATTTGCGCGCCCTTAGTGATGGATCAGGGGGGAAACTAGTCCGGGGTTCCTTTACTTCCGTTTCCTTACGAGTATTGTTTTATGTTGCTTTGTTGGTTTTAATGCTTTTTCACTGGGACACATGTTTTTCAGGGGACGTATATGATAGAACAAAAAAAGAAAGTTGCGAAACTGGGTAATGCTAGGAACCCGTGGAAACCTTCATGCAGGGACAAAGCAAATGGTAGCAGTGAAGGTTGTGCACGATAATGAAAGCTGTTACATCCTGAGCAAGAGACACGTGTGATTTGTACATGAGTTTTGTTTGACGGAGATGTCTGTGTGAGACTGGAACAGCCACTTGCATGAAGAAGCGTGTAGCTCAAAGGGCACTGGTTGCATTCGGCCATCCGACAGTGGTGCTTTTGCAGTGTTTAGTGGAACAGGTTGGGATACTACTATGACCACGACTACATCTACTGCGGAGAGCTATACTGATTTGGCATGCTTGTACGTCGAGACATACTTGAATGCCATACCAATTCAAGTACTGTTATTTGTTGAATAGTGTTATGTCACCATCCAACCATGGCCTTCCAAAGCCTTGACTTTTAAAGGCCTTGCTAAGGCTTATTGCCGCCCTTGGGGACCCCTGTGGTTGTATATACATTGGTTGTCCTTTGTTGACTGCCTCAATTTCGTGATCGAAACGAAGGCGTTGCCAGGGAAGCCATGCCCAGGCCGCGGTGTTCCCCGAGGACCTCCACCAATGGCCGTTGGAGGAAAGGGAGGGCTATATTCGTGAGTCTGCAGTTATTTTCGTGGCTAGTGTTCATTTTGTGGTTGAATGGATATTGTGTAGCCAGTTGGCCATGGCTTATTTCACTCGTTGGTCTTTGTGGTGAGCGGAGGTCGTTCAAAAAGTCGGGCGATTGAAACAATGGGGTAGACCAGGGCGCCCCTTCCGATTAATTCCCAAATCCTCTCAAATGATTCCCTATCGAGAACCAGCAAATTTTTGGCAACCGGGATGCTCTCAGCAGCGTCTGGCATGTCAAGCCTTCAAGCGGCAGGACTTGATTGAAGGCTGAATTGCACCCTGGTGCAAAATCGGGAGGAGCCTAAATGAGGGTGCGGAAACTTTGGCGCATTTTGCTGGGATGTTAGGGCTTTAGCTTGTTGCCAACTAATGGGTTTTCCATTAAACTCTTTCTGCGGTTCAACGCCCCGCTTGGCCGCACCGCGTGGCGTAAGTGGCGCGCGTGAGGAGCGGGAGCGCTTCGGCCAGTTCCGGCGGGAGCTCCGGGACTTCCTGCGGGAGCTGGGTGCCGAGCAGGGCCCAGGCGCGGGGAAAGCGGCAGAGTGACCGAAATCCTCTTAGGCACCACCTAAGCAACCCTGGTTTCCGATAAATTTTCCTGTAAATACCAACAAACAATGCTTTCGCATGGTTTCAAAGTGGCGCGAAATGGATTTCGCAACCATCCACAGTAGATTTCTTTACATGCGGTTTATGAAGACCTCCCAGAAGTCCAGTGGTTCTTCCTTGGTTGGAGGCCTCTGAATTGCACCTCAGGTCGTAGTTTGATGCTGACTATCTTAGGATGGTAGCTTTTGCCTCGGGGGTGTGGTGTGTTTTTAAAGGGTTCCTCCAAAGGGGGGGGTCATTTTGGGGCGTGTCCCAAACTAGGGGGATCCAAATGGTTTGCTCTTGTTTTAGAAAGAACGAACGGTCTCTAGAAAGTGTAGGATTCCTTTCGAGGTCACCCCAACTTGTTTCCCCAAAAGACCTGGCAACATGATCACACCCTGGGCCGCAAAGTTGCCAACCAATTGGAGCGGGATGTGGGGCACTGTGAAGCCGAATGTGGATCTACTGGTCAAAGTTTGGGTGTGTCTTTTTTGAGGGCACCTTTCTTGTGTGGCTTTAAAGGGAAAACCAGCAGGAAAACCAAAGCTTAGCTTTGGTTGGGAGGCGGGGGGATTTCTAAAAGCACACACCCAAGTAGTCATAAGAGTCCGTTTTAGTTTTAGACACAGCTGGCTCCGCAGTTTGGATGGGTCTTATGCATCCCATTTACCAGGGAACCCTTCTATTTTACCAAAAGGACAATGCAATTTCAAGCGAGTCGATCGGAGCCGAGGCCCTAAGGCACGGCAACGCGGCGCACAGCCCGGCGTGCTACTGCCGCTGCTGCTGGAGGTGTGCCGACAAGATGCGTCCTCACTCTTTGGGCGGTTTTTGTCGGGCCATATTTGTTCAGCGCTTTCTGCTGTTTCAAGGATTTTGTCTTTCGTGGTTTCATACATCGCCTTCTGGGCACTTAACCGCCAGGACCAAAACGGTTCCTAGGTGTGTGTTTGATCCATAGAGTCGCCGGGTTCACGGCTAGCTTGCCTGAACACTTATTTCAGATGTTTGGCGATTCTTCTCATCTCTCACCTGGGAAGAAGCATGCTTCCGTTCCCCCCTCAGGAAGTCTGTCCTCTTAGAGCTGGTTGGGAAGATGATCAGTGGCTGTTGGGCCTAATTTGAGTGGTGCTGATGCTGGCAATGCTCGCAATGTGTTCAGGCAATGCTCATGGTGATGTTTGAAATGCAGGTGATGTTGGTCAGCCAAGCCCTGGTCTTGGAAGCAGAATCGAACTTCAACAAATATCCAGAGAGGAAAGATGGACTTTGCCTACCCCATTTCTGGCCGTGGAGCCACTAGACGGAATACACGAATGTCGGGGACAGATGCCATTTTCCCACCTCGTTTATGGCCCCTGCTCCCCGGCAAGCCTCTCCTAAGGCAGGTGTAAAAACAGGTGGTTGGACCCCAGAATTAAACAAACCCCCGAAAAAGGGTAGCCTCAAACAAACACAAGCACACATATTTTCTGCTTAGCTGCAGCGACCACGAAATTGCGACATCACAGTAGGGGAGAATGCAATGGGTTCAAAGTCAAGCTTTTAAGAGGTCGAATAGCACTTAGTCAGCAGGTTGAGGAGCAATAACGTGAAGGTGTAAAGAAACTATAATTGAACTTGTCAAATTAGACGGATGATGAGCAGGTGGTGGAAGGCTTGTTTTACAGGGTGTCTTATCCTTCTCGGCCTCCTGCCCCAAACACAAAGCAGCTTGTTTTTTCTCGTTTCCTTTAAAACCAGGCAGAGCTTCTCTTGTTTTTTCTGTCTCCTATTAAAACCAAAAACAGGTTTGTATTCGGATCTTCCTTTCAACCGCTTTCCCTGCAACCCCAGAGACGAGACTTGCGGGCGCGCCAAGCCGCCGCTTCGCTCGCTCGCGTTTCGTGGCGAGGAGATCCAGCGGGACGTGGCGCAGCGTTTGGCGGGGGACTGGCGGCCGCTGGAGGAGGCGCTGCACGCCTTGTCGGCCTTGGCCAGGGAGTCCCGCGCTGAGTCAGCTGCGCTGGAGTCGGTCGGGCGGGGCACTTCAGCGAGCTGGGGTCTGGGTTCTTTGTGCCGTTGGTGGGAAAGAACAAGGGGGGGAGGTTGTTTGCATTTGAGCCACACCAAATTTGGCAATTTGAGCAGGTGGTTCGGGTCCTACTTGGTTTCGGAGGGATTGTTGTAAGGCCTGGATAAACTTTTTTAGCCATGTTAGTACTCATTGGCCTCTCCGTGGCGGCTAGGCTTTGAAGGGACACGGTGCGGGTACCCCGTTTTGGTTGGTTTAAAGGGAAGCCCAAAGTCAAAGGAAGCCATGTTGTTTTTTGGGTTCCCAAATTTTGAGACACGCATCTGCAAAGCCCAGCCTGTTTCCGGTTGGTTTGTTGGTAGAGCATTTGCTGCCCTTGAAAACGCCCCGAAGTGCGCAACGGAGGAAGGCCTCACAAAGCTGAGGTTCATTTGAATTGGTGTGTTAGAAAAAATGTGGCATTGGTTCACTTTTGATTACCCTTTGAACACTCAAGAGGCCCCCCCCGCAAGTGATGCCAAAGTAAGGTTTTGGCACGGGTATCTGCACAGAGAGAGAGAGGGGCATATGTAGACAGTGTATATATATATATATGTATATTTATATATATATATATATTTATATATGTGCATACGCATAGCTGCACGTGTGTGCATTTTTCAGGCATTGCTTGCATGTTTGGGACTCAAAGTCAACCATCCACACAAGCCCATGCCTTTAGACGAAATCCTGCGCCGTTGGGTTCTTTCACCCCCACTGGTGCCGATTTCTGTGGAATTGTCCACAGCACTACCCCTTTTCCATGCACCAATGTTGACCCCAGATGAATCAACCCCAGTGTATTACTAGGGGGGTGTCCCGGGTTTAGTGGGGAATTATTACTTTTGGAGGGAACACCTCTCTATAAGTAAACTGGGGTTGATTCATATGGGGTCAACATTAGACAGGGCGGAAGATGAACCCCAGCCTCTTGAAAAGGCCTCGCTGAGGCTCATGGCCGTTCCAGCGGCTAGCTCCCGTGCACTGGAGCTGCTCTACTCCCTGGTAGGCTCTCGTTCAAAAAACCGGCGGGACCGGGCACAGCTGCAGGATACTCGGTTTTCTATATGTAAGGTGCAAAACTCCTACATGATTAAAATGAGGTTGAAAGACGTTCCCATTCGAATTTGTGGAGCTTCCCCATGTATTTGCCCTTTGACATATTGGAAGGGGGGGGCGCCTTCGTGTAGGGGCAGGGCTTACTGGAATTTTGTGCGCATTTACTATGTGTGTTTTGTTGTTGCAAGGGTTCCTATGTTTGTATGCATTGCAGAGTTTGTTCGTTGGTTGGATCATTGCTCTGGCTCCACACGATCCTTTTTGAGGAATGTTATGAAGGAAGCCCTCTATATATATATATATATGGCATATATATATATATATATATTGTGGGCCCACATCCCGAAAGAACACTTGGGCATGTTTGTGGAGCGCCGGCCCCCCATTCCGGAGTTGGCCTCTTGAGCTTCTCAAATAGGCGAGAGATGCTTAGCATGAGGCAACCAGTTGTTCCAAAGGGGGCGTCGTAATTCTTTCCTTGGACCCTGGGTGACCTTCCATGGCCTTCACCCCGACGCAACTGTTCCCAACAAGATTTCAGGCTGCCGTTGCGGTGCCTCTGGTTCTTCGCGAGGGTGCCAGCCTTCTCAAGCGTCGCAAACAGCCAAAGCCATGTTTGATTGCAAGTTGCAAGGTTTGTTGGACCTTCTAGGGGATTTATTCCCAACCAAGCAATAGTAATTGATATAGTCTTCAACCCAGTGAACGGGTCAGCTCATGTCAACTCCGCAGTGTGTCTTTTTTTGAATGTATCCACCCGCCCATTTTTGTGGGTCTCCACTGATCTCCCCCCGCCTCCCCAATTCACCCGATAGGCGAGCAGAGCCCGCTGCGTGGGTCCTGCCACCGCCAGTTGATCTCCACCTTTTTGCAGTGCGCAGCTTGGAAGCACTTGGGTGTGTCTGTTATGAGGCCGCCCCCCAAAACAAAGAATGTTGTTTTTTGCTTTTAGTTTCCGCTTAACACCACCAAGACAACACAGACCCACCTGTGTGTGTGTGTGTGGTGTTGGTGTGTGTGTGTGTGACCCTATTTTGAGACACACCCACCTTTTTTTGGTTGCAGCAGCTGCTGCATTTCTTAGGGAGGAATCGCTCGTTTCGAAACCAGTGAGGCCCTAGGCGGGCCCCCTGTAAGCCCTTGTAAGTGGGACAAAAGGATGTAGCATATGAACTGCGTCCCTTCAACATGTTGAGGTGGCTTTTGGAGATTCCCTTCTTCTTAAACATTTCAAGGGGTTTCTCCAACATGAGATTTGGTCGGGTTTGAGGATGATGTCACTTGAACGTTGAAGGAAACCAGCATGAGCTGCTTTCAAGACTTATATCCATGCATTATATTGTTGTCACAGATACAGGCACGTTTGACTTGTCGGGGCCAATGCCATTCTTGTCCATCGGGTGAATCGGGAATCGAAAGGGGCTTTTATGAAAGGGGAAACCACAGTTGGATGGTTCAGCTCGGGGGTCATTTCAACTCGTGCCCTGCTGAGAACCCGCAAGCCTGCACTCTTGCACCTTTCACGTGATCGGAGCATGTTTAATTCCCGCTTTCTGTAAAGGGTATGACATTGAGGACACTTACTTCGCACTTCGCACTGCCCTCCCTCAATGTCTCACTTCCTCAACTCCTTCCCTCACTTGCCCAACGCCGACCTTTCGACCTTTTCTTTTCCAGGTTTGGTCCATTCTTGGTCGCGGCCAAAGCTAAACCTTTTATTTCTGGTTCCTTCGTGCAAAGTGAGTTCCTCAGCTGTGGTAAAGGATGAGACTCCCTCAACTTCGCACGCCATCGGCTCCGCAGGTGGCGGTCTTAGGGCCCCTGGCGCCCGCAGAGGTCCTGGGGCAGTGCTTCGCCATCGCGCGCGCCTCCCTCCAGATCCCGGAGGAGGCGTCGGCGTCGGCGGTCGGAAGGCTTCAGGACGCCAGGGAACCGGTTCCAAGGGCCAATGTGATTTTTGCTGGTGGAACCTTTCGTGTGCGAACCGTATCTATTGCTTGGGTGTGCTCAGTGATTCTTACTCATAGGTTTCGGACTGGTGGTGTGGGCATAGCGAACCTTTTGCCCAAATGGCAAGAAGGCCCCTCCTTTGGGGGACGTGTCTGATGAATGGAACTCGATGCAAGGCTATCCTTCCCAGTCCATCCCCATGTTTATGACTGAGCTTGTCGAACAGTGAGTACCCGAGCTATTTCTACGATAGGGGCATACCCACAACCGATACCCATTGATCTGCAAAACTGACAGGGGCCTACGCAAAACCAATACCCCAGTGATATTACCCGCTGAAATGTGAACCTTTGGCGCATGCCGAATGGGTGTCGGTATCAAAGCAGGTTGCATTGACCGCTGGAGAAACTCATCCAGTGGAACTACCATGTGAAAGCTACTGGTAGAGGTAAAGATCCCGGTCACCCACTATATTGATACTCCCCTGCAAATTAACAGGGAACCCGAAAAGGGGGTCCTCCAAAGGGAGATTTCTCTAGAACTGACGGGTTTCTGGGTTCCATGTTAATCTGTAGAGGAGCAACTGGATCTGGGTAACATCAGCCAATCCTTGAGGGCCACCGATTTCGGTTTCAGGTGACCGATGGGCCGGACTCTGCGTATCCGTTTCGTGCCCCTTGGCTGAGTTACAGGCTTTGCCTGCTGATCAACGGCTGAATGTACCTAGTCCAATTCCCCGCTTTCGGACAGCCCCGTGTGCAAAAAGGATGTACACCTTGGAAAGCCTGATAGTTACAGATCTAGAACGCGGGGTACGTCCACTTAATTGTGGCAACCGAGCCACTGTTGGGCACCATCCTCATAGTTCGACGTCTACGTTCGGCCATTGCCTCTGGAGACCCTTGGCAAAGCAAAGGGATCGCCTATATACAAGTGTAGACATGTTTGAAAGCAGATCAAAACATAAATGGGATATGGCTAGCACAGCTAGGGGGGTTCGCCGAGCGACGGGCCTCGGAATTCAAATGCATGCTTCTCAGCTATCACGATCCATTTCTTGACGGACACTCGACTATGATGTATAATGCATATCTTGTCGCTAAACTAAGAGGTCGATCTTTTCAATGGTTCAAGCTGCATTTTATGTTCATGCAGGAAACTGCCTTATGTTCAATGCGTGACTACATATGGCAGAGTATCTTCCAAGGACTGTAGGGATCCTTGAACTCCCCCCTTTACTGTTTAAAGCAATCCTCAGAAGGTGCTTGGAACCTCTCAGATAGAGGATTCTGTTCTACAATACCATTGCCTTTGTTGTCCTTTTTGGGGTGAGACATGTCCATTCCATTCCAAAGCTTACATCCTGAGTTCATGGATAACCTTTCTTGGCGATCTTTGTGGAAATCGACAAGTTTGGTTTTCTACTTGTTTTGGCCATCCACTCGATTGGAAGTGAGAAAAGGGGCCCTCAAATGCCATGTGTTACAGGGATACAATCAGCCAAGACACTTCCTGATCCGATCCCGTCTGACTGTGCAAACTAGCATGGATCCAGCAATCCACCAATTTGGGGGAGGGGGGTCCCCCAAAAATGCGGTTTTGAGGGCAAGTTGAACTAGTCAATTACTCCCCTGCAAAAGGGTTGGAAACTCAAAGGATCCTTCAAAAGGAGATTCCTCTAGGGAAAAATCCTCGACAAACTGCATTTGAGTGCCCGCCCTTGTCCGTATTTGTTTCTAAATTTTGCAACGATCTATTTTGTTGGCTGGGTCTGGTCTCTTTACCGGTACTCCCTGACCCACACCGAGAAAACATGAGGCGAAGCAGGATCACAATGGCGCTGTCTGCTTGATGCCGCTCAGCTCGATTAAATTGAGCGCCCGTGTCTATTGGCCGTTGTAGTGGTGGGTTCGTTACCCACTGGTTTCACGGTTTGGATATATACTGTGCCCATACAAGCCAGGAGAAGCAACATTATATCTTGGGTTTCGAGCCAAGAAAACAGTTCGGTTTTTTTTGGTCCAGAGAAGGGACGTTCAGGGCTCATGGGACTACGAGGGCCTGGGAAACACCACTGTCATCAAGTTGCGTGCTGCTGACCGATGATTGCCCGATTGCCAGTGTAAAGCATGGATCCCCTGTTGATCATGCTTGATGGATTTCACTTCTGATCCCTCCAAGGATCCTTCAGGCGTTGCCTCGTGAGCCTCTTTTTGGGAAAGTCAATGACCCCCAGAAACGTAGGTGTCGTTTCACTTTCTGAGGGGATCAACCGTAGCCCCTGCCGCGTGATTGTCATCTCCAGAGATGGAGGAAGTCATGCAATTGTCCATGGCTTTGGAAGAATGAATCCCTGGCCTGGCTTTTCAATTCCAATCTTTTGCCCACAGGTCCCGTGGGTGTCACGTCAAAACACTCCGCGCAGATGCCCCATTTCAAGCCCATTGACCATTTGGTGCAGGTGCAAAAGGGGTGCCAGTTGGTATCCTGGGCCAGAAACCGAATCTGGTTGGACCTGGATGGGTATGTCTTTCCCCAGTTTGACCTCCAGTAGCAAGATGTATAATATACCCGTGTTGAAGTGCTGCAGGAAGCTGTGTGCGCTACCTGCTTTGGCAGACCGGGCAGTGGCAGAGGCCAATGGGATCGGCAGGTGGTTCAATCAAGGCAAGTGTTTGGGTTCTCTTACAAAAGGGTACCCAACAAATCAAGGGCACCAACACCCCTTTTCAGGTAGCTTTTGAAAGTGCCCCATGTGGTTCTGCATGGGGCAAACAGTTCCATTCTGATTTAGCGTTTCAGGTTTTGCTTTGGTGTGACCATTTCGAACTTGCCCAGCAGATGGATAGTTCCATTTTTTGAGTCTTGGTTGGTTGGCTTGTTGGTTGGCTGGTTGGTTGGCTGGTTAGTTGGCTGGCTGGTTGGGCTTGACATTTGAGCAGTGCCAAAAACCCGTATGCAATGAGTGAATTGAGGGCCTCTCCTAACGAAGCCTCGCACAAGCTAAAACGCAGGGCGCGAAAGCCCGAAAGCTTGCGGCGAAAGTGGTTGAAGAAGAGCCCGCCGCGAAAGCGTCGCGAAAGTGCACATTCGCAGTTTCTGTGTTGCCCGCGAAAGCTCCGCGAAAGTGATCGTGACAAAACACATGCCCGCGAAAGTGAAACGTGTGGCCGCGAAGCATCGCGAAAGGTTCCGCGAAAGTGGTTTGTTAGTAGAGGGTTTTAAGTACCCTATTTTCGGCACTGCTCATTTGGTTGGAACCGCCTTGTGGTTTAACAGGGAAACCACCATGGAAACCACTAATTTTGGGGAACCCTGATTTTGAGACAACTCAAAATTGTGTTTTCGAATGTACCCAAAAGGAAGCCCAAAGGGGATGGATGGACTTTTGATGCCCTTAAGTCTTTTTCAAGGGCATGGGTAAAACCTCGGGGGCCCTTTGATTGGAACCCCCTGTCGCCTTGGACAAATAATTTGCAAGAATCTCATGGCCTGTAGTTGTTTTTGCCGGATTGTCGCGACGTGAGCGTGTTTTTCCTAGGATGCAGTGGATGACAAAATCCTGCACCAGTTGGTTTTCCCCTTTAATTTTAGGGCTTTATCCATCCCATCCATGGTAGGGTTTTCGGTTGCTTTTGGCTTCCCAACCCCGTTTCAACTGCACACAAGGCCTTGTGTTGCTCATGTTGCTCCTGTGGCATGGCCGGCACCGTTTGATTTGAAGGTGAACAGCCCCACAAAACATCTTTAGATAAGCAAGGCAGGACTGGGGGGGAGGCTTTGGGAGCAGCCACGAATTCCTATTTGTTTGTTTGCCAATCACCTCTGACTTGCAGTGAAGATGAGCCTGCGTCTCCTCCTATCCTTGGCTGTGACCCCAAAGACAAGAGACTATGAAAAGTGAAAATGCTGCGATAATTGATATAAACTGAGTGGAATATGATATAGCGCTCACGGTGTTCCCCTGCTAGCCGGCCTGGTTCCTTCACGATCTAACTTTCTTCATTTGGTTTTCATTTCTTTCCTGGTTGGTCTTTTCTTTCATGGAAGGGTCTTCGGCTGGAGTGGAACAATCGGGAGGAGGTCTGGAGGTCAATTTTGAGCCACTGGAAGATCCCCTGTTCCGGATCTCAGACGCGTGCCGCAGGACCGTTCAGGTCCATTGGGCCCCCAACGGCAGGTTCTGGTGATCCTTCTGCAGCTGCGCAGCCAGGAGAAAGTGGAGCATGTTGTGCCGCTGGAGTAAAGAGCACTCAGGAGCTCACAGAGACGTAGTTCTTGCGCCATGGCACGCTCCCGGCAACGGGCGTGCTTGCAAGCGCAGAGAACATGCTGGAAAAGCAGTACTCGATCCTTTCGATCATCAGCACATGGAGGAATTTGGGTTCCTCACTCACCGGGGGGCAAGCGGCAAGCGGCACCAGTAGGGGGCAAGCAGGGCAAGTGGGGCAAGTGGGGCAAGTGGGGCAAGTGGGGCAAGTGGGGCAAGTGCGGCAAGTGGGACAAGTGGGGCAAATGGGACAAGTGGGGCAAGTGGGGCAAGTGGGGCAAGTGGGGCAAGTGGGGCAAGTGGGGCTAGCGTGGCAAGTGAAGTGGGACAGACTAATTATTGCCCACCCTTCCGACACTCTGTGTTTGTGTTTGTTTGTTTGCTTGCTTTCTTGCTTGCTGCCTGTTTGTTCTGTCTTGTTTCGTTGCTTGCCTGAAGGAACCAACCTTTTCAATTGTTGGTGTTCTGGCGTTGCACGTGTGCTCAGACCAACCAAACGACATGTTTGTTCATTCTCAAGTTCACTAAAACGTGCGCCAATGCACACACATATCAGGTTGAGTGGCGGGGACCAGGCATGTGTTAGTGCTCTGCGTGCCCCACAAGAAAAACAGCAAACGAGTTTCCTTTTGATTCCATTTACACCCCACCCCAATGGCATCATCAACTACGCCCAGGGCCTCCGGAACTTGGAACCTTCTGGATTTCCCTACAACCCTCCAAACCCCAGAGCCTATCTGGGCCTATCAAAGCCATGGGGAAAGGCACAACTTTTCCAAACTGGCGGCTTTGCCTTCTGATTTTCCTTTGAAGCCCCACCCAAAAATGATGATACCCTCAAGCACACGCACAACACAGAGACAGACTTTGGAGACAACAGGCGCTGCGCACCGACTTGCGCCAGCACCTGGCGCAACATTCGGCGCCGAGAACGCCTCGCACGCTGTTCCCGAGCTCTGTGCTGGTGCTGGCGCAGGCGCATCATCCGCGCATTTGGCGGTGATGTCGTAAGGCTTGCAAGCCCGGTGGAAGGGTTCGGTTTAAAGCTTTGGTTTGGTTTCAAGGTCAGGTTTGAAAGGCTTGTTGTAATTGGATGAAGCTTTTGAAGGTTGCACACCTGGTTTATTTACGGATTTAAGGTTTCTAGTAACCTTACCACCGTTTTAATCATGATCGGAGCTTATGAGCCTGCGTTTCGAGCCAAACGTCGATGCATATATCGGCCAATGGGGTTAGCGTGCGTCAACCCTCCATGAGTTGCTAGCAGCCCCCATGCAAAATGCTCCAGACTTCCCGAAGGCTGCCTTGTGGCCATTTGGGTTATCTTAGAAAGGGTCGGATTTTGTTTTTTCCTGAGCGCTTGTACTTAGAGTTGGCAGCTGGTTGAGCAAGTAAAGTGCCAACATCCCCGGCTTTGCTCGCGTCATTTAGACATTGTTGCACTCCAGCAAGCCAACAAGTCCAACACGAGACGCCACTCGCCCAAATGATGCTGGTGATGCTGGGGATGCTGCCTGCTGGGAGGAGCAAAGTACTTTTTGGGAAGACCATGATGGTGGTAAACGCACTCAGGAAGTAAGGCAAGCCTTTCTATTGCTACTTCTGGCTGCTACTTCTGGCCTTGTGCTTGGCTTGGCCAGGTACGGAGAGCATTGGAGACGCTTTTTTGGGGTCCTTGTATTTATCTTTTTGGGTGGTGTGAAAATCACCCGTAGTGTCCTTTTCGGTTGGGTGATGTTTGATCTTCTTTGACCACCAAGTAGGTCTTGAGTCATGGTTTTTTTTCTTCCCCCACTTGAAGCCAAGAGCAAAGATCAAAAAGGCCAAAGATCAAGGACCGGCTCCTGACACTGGAGGCAACGGCCCTCGCGACCAAGCCTTTCGCAGATTTGGCCAGCCAGGCAATTGCGGCAGCTCGGAGAGTGTGGTGGGAACAGCTCTATCCCTTACTCAAGCACTCCATGTACAGTATATTTACCCACATGGGTTTGTATGTTTTTGGGGGGCTTCTTGGATCAGGTTGGTTTCAAAGAGAAAACACGAGGACAATAACAATTTTGGGTCCCCTAATTTGTGACTTGCCCTCCAAATCGGGGTCAAACGTGGTCGCATTTTGGTTGGACAAGATTTGATGGAGATTCTTTTAGGTGATGTTTGTAGCCAACATGTCAGAAAGCCTATGACAAGGCCCCTTCTTTGAGTCCAAGGTGACCCTTTCTCATGCTATCACATTTGAAGTGGGCACGAAGGGACCCCCGTGCCACTGAAGGAACCATTTCAATGTTCCAAAGAATGAAAGAGACACACTGCCCAAAGGCTCACGACTAGGCCTGAACCAGGTCCATGGCACACATACCAAATGGCTTGTCTCTCAAGGCAAACATGGATGGCTTCGTGGCGTCTCTTTAAGGCCCCTGGGACGTTTTGCGATGCCTCGAAGCCACACGAGTTCAAAGCACGGCAAGTGGCGACCTAAGGATTGCTTGGAGCTGGCGCTAGGCACGAAGTGCAGCGTTTGACAGTGTTGCACTGTTGGGGTTTTTGAAAGCAGTGTGCGTTTTTCTCTGTAGATTTCCACTCTCGTTGTTTGGTATCTTTTGGTATATGTTTGGTGTACTTTCGGTGTTGGCCAGGTGCCTCTTCCAAAGATAGATAGATCCACGGACGGCGATGGAGCTTTCAGAGGGCAGAGGGTTGCTCCTTTGGCCTCTAAATGGCACCCCAAACACGAGGGGCGAATGGGGTTTGGGTGCTTATGGCCCGGCATCCACCCTCAGGTTGGTTTCGAGGGACCTGAACAGGAAAGCCAAATTGTGTGGTCCAAGCTATTGTTGACACACACGTTCCCTTTGTCCCAAGGGCCGAGGGTCTTTGGAGCAAGCCTGCTGACATGGCCGGTTTATAAAAGCACACCTTGGGCGCGGGGTAGGGTTCCTGCGCAGGGTTTGCAGGCCACCTTTGGTGAGGTCGGATTTCGGTAATCGCAGAAGGGTAGCGGGAAGAGACTCTGGTTGATCGATTGGAGGTGTCCCATTGCAGGGGGATCACTTTTGGGGAGCCCCGCCCCCCTTCATCAATCCGCCAGGCACATGATAACAAACTCACAGGGGGCAAAAGCAGTATGGGTATGTTTCCTTGTTTCCTCAGATGTCGCGTATGGATAAGTGACATTTCACGTGCCAGCGGGAGAAACACTATCTGCCAGAACCATGGCTTCCATTTACCAATATGATTAGTTTTCGCTTGGTGGTTTTAGGGGGAATCTATCACTACTGGAAATACGCTTGTTTTCCACGGGATGTACTGTATTCGAAGTGCCACAAGTGGGCATGTGTCAAAATAGAGCCTCCTATTGAGTTCGGGTACCTTTTGGTTTCCCTTTCAAGTCGCCCCAAAAACCGCACCGAACCTTAGACAAATACGAGCCACACACACAAATGGCTGTGGCTCAAACCATGGTCCCCAAAATGGCCCTTGGAAATTGGAAACAAAGTGGATGGTTACATTGGCAGGCGGTGCCGGAGGCTTGCCCTTGCAAGCCGCCGCAGAATTGGTGGCCGCGACTGAGGCGGGAGACGCGAACCCTCGTACCCTCGAACCCTCGAACCCTCGCACCCTCAGACCCTCGAACCCTCGTACCCTCGTACCCTCAGACCCTCGAACCCTCGTACCCTCGAACCCTCGAACCCTCGAACCCTCATACCCTCGAACCCTCGAACCCTCGTACCCTCAGACCCTCAGACCCTCGAACCCTCGTACCCTCGTACCCTCGAACCCTCGAACCCTCGCACCCTCAGACCCTCGAACCCTCGTACCCTCGTACCCTCAGACCCTCGAACCCTCGTACCCTCGAACCCTCGAACCCTCGAACCCTCATACCCTCGAACCCTCGAACCCTCGTACCCTCAGACCCTCAGACCCTCGAACCCTCGTACCCTCGTACCCTCGAACCCTCGAACCCTCGAACCCTCATACCCTCGAACCCTCGAACCCTCGTACCCTCAGACCCTCAGACCCTCGAACCCTCGTACCCTCGAACCCTCGAACCCTCGAACCCTCATACCCTCAGACCTTCAGGCATGTCTTCTTTTTTCGGGATGCCTGGTTTTTCGGTGGTTTTGGCGGATTTTCGCCTAAATAGCCACGGGCGAGGGTCCAGTGGTGCTTCTACTGGCCTCCCTTCTTTCCCGCTTCAAACTCTTCTACAAAGAGAGCCAACATGAAGTCAGAACGGGTCCCAGAACGGTGCTGGCAAAGTTTTCATTTCGCAACAGCCCTGCGTTTGGCATACAAAGAACTCCCTTGTTGGATGGCGCCGATGGACGCCGAAATGAAGGTTGAGTCCCTGCTCCGCGAGAACTTTGTGCTGTGGAACCCGCTGGCAAATTCGCGTCGCTCTTCCCGGACGCCACAATGAAGCCGTGGGCACAGGGTGCACAGCTGGCATCGGCTTCCAAACCGCCTGGCCTGCTTTGCTGTTCTGGCAGTTTCCTGCCGTCGATGTCACCCGAAGCTCCTTTCTGAGCTGCGAAGCGCTCCGATTCTGACGGGCATGCAAGTCCGTTGAGCTGGCTGCGCAGCCAGAAGGAGATCAATCCTTGTCTGGGTGTCCCAGTTCATGTGGGTTTGAGTGGTCATTGCTCCATTTGCATCAAAGGCTCCATGTGCGAACCCGTCTGAACATCTTGGACCATGGCTTCATTATCAAGCGTTAGCGAATTTCCCAGCCACTAACATTGATGCCACTGGAGGCTCTCTTTGAGGAACGTTGTCAGGAAAGCCAAGCACCAAAGGGGCGTTTCCATGGATTCGTTGGCCATTCAAAGGCCCCGTCTTGTTGAGACGTCCTCTTGTTTTTCTCCAACGAAAACAGACAAACGCGAAATGGAAGCCAGGGATCTGGACCAAGGGCTTGGAGAGCATTGTCAGACTTTTTGGGTTGCCCGCAGAATCCCTTTTCAGCAGCAAAGAATTGCAACTTGTGGGTCGAAGTCGGGCCAAGTTAGCCGTTGATCCCAAACTTCCAGCCAGTGGTTCTTCCTTGTTGGTTGGTGGGGTGCCCCCTTAAAATTAGCCACACAATGCGCGGGTGCTAAGTTGGTGTGTGTGTGTGTGTCTTTTGCAGGCACCCTTTTCACCTTGGTTTAAGAGCAGATAAATGGCACATACCCAAATCACAAGACTGCTCCTACCAGCCCCCACCCACCCCCCAAAACAGCTTGGGTCGATTTTGGCACATGGATCCTCTGGGATTTGAATACCTCGTTTCAGAGCAGTTCTAAAGGGACAACAGGAAAGTAAAATTTTAGGGGGTCCTCAATTGAAGACACACCCACACACCCAAACGGGTCTGTCTTTCCTTTTTTTCAAGGCTCACTACCCTTTTCGGGGCTGGTTTCAGGGGGAACAGCGGCAAAAACCCACCGTGTTTGGGGGGACCACTATTTGGACACACAACCAAATAGCCAACGATCCTACCTGCGACTGCGACTGGTCGCTAGGGGATCTCATTTGGACGTCGATTCGTGGGAACCCACGGCATGCGAAAGGCCAAACACCTGAGGCGGGTGCAGCCGCCTCGGCGCTCAGCGGCGCCTGGCCGGCGCTGCTGAGTGCTGCGCTGGACTGATCTCAAGGGTGTGACCCCCAAAGGCCCCTACGGGTCCCCTGAATGGGGGGGTTTGTCCCAAAGGGGAGTTCCAGAAAATGGTATGATCGCATCGGATCGCCCTGAAGGAAAGATCATTCTGAAGCAAATGGGTCTGTCATTTTTTGGGTACCTCGTTTTTTGCGGTTTGAATGGAAAGTCAAAAAGGAAAACAGACACTTGCGGGTCCAAATCCTAACAGGCACACACGAATCGCTTTTCCGAACTAAACAGAAGGTCTAAGGACCTTCTGCCCCTTTGGAGGGCGGACGGGGCAATGTCAACCGCGAAGGTTCTTTAGCTTTTGCCACACGCTTGTTTCTGTTAGTTTTAATTTGCAATATTGGTTTTACTTCATCTCTAGAGCGGTCGACAACGAGTGACATTGCCTGGCTTAGCTTATGTCTTTCTTGCTAAGGTTTTCCTCCATGCTTCCTTCCATGCAGCCAATGTGTTTTTTTTTGGGGGGGTCGGATCCATGTCACCCAGAGAAAGGGGTTGGTCAACAGTTCGTCACCCAAAACGCCTCCTTTCTGCGGGGGTTATTATTTCAGGGTGACACATCACCTGGACTCGGACTTTTCAAGAGGATGCCAGTCCTCACCAGACCATCTTGTCCACCATGAAAGGGGGCATACCAAACAAAACAGCAGACAAGCAAAGGCATATGTGAGTACGACTAGAATTGACCCCCAAGGTCGTTTTCACCTTAGTTGCTGAAGACTTACTATTCGTTCCATGCGCCATGGAAGACCAATCCACGAGCACATGGGTCTCTCTTTTTCGAGGGTACCCTTGTTGTGGGTCGTGTTTACAGGGAAAACCAAACAGAAACCCGTTTTGCCAGTTGGGGGAGGGGTCGAATCCTGGAACAACCACCACCCAAATTGTCGGCCCCACCAGGAGCCCAAGGCCTTGTCGCTGCTCTTGGCCAAAGCTGCCGAGCGCCTTCCCTGCGAGGTGAGGTGACGGGAAAGCAAATGGTTTTGCTTTCAGTTTTGGTTTTCGGCTTGTTCCAAAATATCCATTTGGTTTGTTTTCGGGTTGGTCTTGGTCTCCTTTCGGTTTCCAAGAAGTCCATTAAAAAACAATTCCCGAAGGT